AAAGTCAAAATATATGGTAAGTGTATATATCCTAATATCTAGGATATTGTTCAATTTAAAATTGAACGATATAGATGTTGTGCGAGTATTTCTCATCTGCTTGTTTAGTGCGAGTATTTCTCATCTGCTTTATATAAGTCCGAAAAATATACAAAATAAACCTGGTTATTTCTTCTTTTCGAAATCCTTTTTTGTTTACTTTTTGTGTTATTTACATATCGTGTTTTTTTTCTGTGTAATTATAGTATATTTTTTGGTTTAATACATACAAAAAACATGATGAAGATTATATACAGAAGATATACTCATTATATATAGACGACATAAATAACATACACAACAAATATACAGAAGATAAATCAATCTTGTCAATATATGCAGAAGATACATAGAAAATACATTTGACCACAAAAATCAAATTTCAGAAATCAATTCCTTTATTCTGCACACTCATTCTCTAAATCCCGTCATCCACACACACACATAAGGAATCTGTTTTAATACAGAAAGATAAGGAATTTGAATTTCAAATAACATCATCTTCTAAATACTACAAAATACACGATCAGAGATTATAGACAGAAGATATACTCATTATATACAGACGACATAAAGAAAATACACAACAGCTATACAGAAGATAAATCAATCTTGTCATTATATACAGAATATATACAGAAGATATACGAAAAACCCATTACAGTGCAAAATTCAAATTTCAAAAAAATCAATTCCTTTCTTATGCACACTCCATTCTCTATATCCCGTCATCCACACATGCAACCGTCAGAGTGCATCGCGAGACTTAACGGCTTGAAAGCTACATCACCAGCGGCCGCATCCCTTCAATCTTTTACCCATCGGCCGTCGTCTTTGATTGTGATTCCGATCTTTGGATCCTTGCCGGTGTTCTCGTCAGAAATATAGAGCACCTCAACGGAGCTTTCGGTGTACAGAACCACTGAGTTCCTGTCGGAATCCTTGGCCACAGCCTCGCAGGAAGGACGAGGTCCAACTCGTAGCTGGGTATTATCTTCCCCTTGTGGATGTTGACGTAGCCTCGCCCTCGAGCTTCTCGATCTTCTTGGTGGTGATGTGGATGTGCCCTCGCCGGAGAGAAGGAGCTTGTCGCATGAATGAAGGAGAAAAAAAAGGGCTAGCGGATGCGAATTTGTAGTCGTCCGTGGATGAGAGGATGAGAAGAAGAAAATGGGTCAGATGAGGTAGATGAATGGAGGATAGAGAAAAGATGAGGCCAATGAATGGAGGATAGAAAAAAAGTAGTCTATTTTCTCTCGATATTAAATAACACTAAATCTGCACTCCCTATAATTAAGCCAATATATTACATATCACTTGTTTCTCGTATTAGTGCAAATAAAATATGAAATTTTGTTAAATGTGCTAAATACTTTAACTAGGTTGTAAAAGTGCAATATAATTCACTTTACCTCGTCTGTTACGTAATTTTCTCATTTTCTCATTCACGTTACGTTAATTTTGCCCAGTCCAATTGTATCTTTCATAAAGCCCAACTTCTCATTTAACTGTTGAAGCCCAACTTATCTCCTCTTATCCCATTTTCGTTCCTTTATTAATCACTAGGGCACAAAACGGATCACTTGTCATCTCTCACATTTCATTATTTCACTACAATAAACGCCGCACCCATTCAATTCCCACACAAACACCTCAATTAATCGGCGACGAGCGGCGGCCAGTTGAAGGTCTTCGTCCTTCAATGGATGTAGGCGATGGACGACTGATGTCCGATGTCTGAGTCTGATACGTCGCGACAGACGGCGGCGTTGGACGCAGCTCTGCAAGGTGTTACCGGTAACGCGCGAGGAGGCTACGGATCTGGCCACGTACCTGCCGGACGACGGCCTTGTCTATGAGCGACGACCAACGGTGCGACGACCAGCGGCAGCGGGGGGTTGCGTGGTTCTTCTCGGCTCTCGGCGCTTCCGGGTGAGTGCTTGGTTTCCAGATTTTGGTTGAATGCTGCCGGTTAAATTCCAGTTTATACTGTAAAACCTGATTGTTTGACGTTCGGATGCATTTGGATTTTGGGGTTGCGTGTGATTTTTGGCTGATTTCACTTTTAATTGGTTTGCTATATGATTTTGGATGTAAATGATAGGCGAACTACTGGGTTTGTGCTTGGTTATTTATATACTAATAAATCTTTTGTGGTTTATGCTTGATATGGAATTAAGAGTGTTGTGATATATTGAATTTTAACAATTGTAGTGTCCATAGAATGATATAGTTGCTGCAGAATTGAAAATATGGAGAGCATATACGCATGTGAAGGTGGAGAATTCTTAATTTCTCTGTTAATACTTTGTACTCATTATTTTCATTTTTCATTGAATTAGGTGCATGGACTTTTGACAATGAATATGTTAGATATGGCTATTTTACTTGTTCTTGACCCTAACTCTCATTTCCCTTGATTACTGCAGTGAATGAAAACGATATTTGGAAGACTTTGATTGGGGAAATTCCTATGATATTGAATTGGATATCCTCTTTTTGTGATTCAGAGGTTAGTAGATTGATTGTGGTAAATGTAAATAGTCTTTCAGGTCTTAATAATTTCTGAACAGTGGGTATAAATAATGTCAGTCTTTTATGACAGGTTTATACCTATAATTTTGATCAGTTAATTACACTATAAATAGATTAATTGGATGACTCCTATTTTATTATGGGGCACTCTTCAGTCTCTAGTTTTTTGTATGCCCCAACAGATGGTAAAGAGTTCAAATGCCTTATTTGAACAAAATCACGGATCACAATGTCTTCCAGAACCAAATTTTTACATATTAATAATTTCCTATTTTCCTTAACTTCTTTGGGGATATGAGCAACATGAAGGTCAGTTACAGCCTCAGCTGGACACTTTCAATTATTGAATTTTTTAGTATGTTGGGCTTCCACTCTCAACTACGTGAATTATGTGAAATACAAGCTTAATCATGTGTTTAACCGGTCGTCTTATTGTAAACTAGAATTTCAAGTGTGTAGCGGGATTTTTCTAACGGAAGCTTGTTGTCGGTGTTCAGGTAAAATTTTACCCAATTATTAATACATCAAGTGTCGTATCAGTTGTGCTTCAAGCTTTTTAACTTTATTCATTTTTAAAAGAATACATACCAATTTCTATTACTTTATAATATAATTTATACTTTTATTTGATATAATTTAATTTAGTTTGATAAATAGATTTAAATTTTATTTATAAGGATATATATTATTGTTTTGAATTATATATATATATAAATAGTAAAATACAAATAG